TTGGGCAAATCCTCGCGCCACCCCTGACACACTCAAGCCAAAGGATCTTCTAAATATCGACATACCTTGCCTAGGGCTTGCCTCCAGGCTCGGCTTAAAGATCTTAAATACTTTAAGTAGCATTTTTAGTCTAGTCTATGCCTAAATACAGTACAGTAGAAATTTTTCAAACTTTTTCAGGTATCTGCTTGTGCAACCAAATAAAGATATCAAGTCAGATTGGTGATCAGTGTCCTGAGGGGAAGAGAGGGCAAAATGGTGTGTGTAAAGGTAATATGAATGAAATATCATTGATTCGTGAGGATAATCAATCAATTATATTTGCCATGCAGCAGTGTATTGGTTGCTCAGTGGTTAAGATACCTGCCTTCTCCGAGGCCTGTATTTAATTCCTGAGACAGCAGAATACTTTCTCATGTCTAAAACCAATGTGGGACTTATAATGTATTTAGCTGAGCACTGGGGGGAGAACAGTAGATCTTTACTGAAACAGGTATTAAAAAGTAGAAAATTACATATAAAAAAATAATATTATTTGTCGGACATTAAAGATGTAGCGTATTGTCGCATGCTAAACACCAAAACAATCATAAAATTATTCAGATTCACATTCACATTCAGATTTATTGATCAATCATATAAAATACATGAAATTTGTTTTCCTGAGAATACACATAAAGCTGGTTTTCCACTAGGCGAATTTATTCGGGCGAATCAAAGCGTCGGTTCGCTTCCTGAGTTCTGATTGGTTGCGCATTTTTTCGCTAGCAAAAACTCCGATAGAAATGTGAATGCGCATGTGCATGAGCCGCCACTTTCCATTCGCGCGAATAAATTCGCCAAGTGGAAAATAGGCTTAAAGTTCATTAAAGTACACAAAAATATTTAGTTGCATAAAATATTTTTTGAAATTAACTTGCCCATTTTAAAGTAACATAAATGTTATCAACTTGAACATAGAAATTATGTATTAAAAAAATGTCTACCCATCAGTTTACAGTGAAAAATGATAGAAACACTTCCAGTCACTGGAAGTGTTTTATTATTTTTATTATAATTTTTTGGTTTAAAAATCAGGGTACACATTTTTAAAATTCAATAATTTTTATGTACAAGTTAATAATTCGTATGCTACTGCAATATGAGCAAGTTTATTTCAAAATTATTTTTTATGATTTTTTGACATTAGCAAGGGACAATACATCTTTAATAATAACAATTTTGAATCTTGGTTGAATAAGATATTGCATATTAAAATTTTAAAATATCTAAAATATGATAATATTAAAGTGAGTAGAGTGCTATCATGCCATGTTTAATTGTTGACAACATTTATTTGTACAGATGTTAATGAATGCGATGAAGGGGGAAGACAACAGTGTGGTCAGTTGTGTACTAACACGCCCGGTTCCTATTACTGTTCCTGTCTCCCAGGCTACAGCTTAGCTTCTGATCAATGGTCGTGTTTAATAGAAGGTAAAATGGACATTTTATTTATTTATTACATATTTCGCACAAAAATTTAAAAAAAACAGAAAGTGGCCAGAGGACACCATGAGCTGAGAGCTCAACACGAGACGTGGGTATCCTCTAAACCCCTGAGCAGTAGCCTAGTATAAAAAGATTGATGATAAAAAAGTCAGTCATTTCTCAGTGGTGAGTCATATTTTATTTTAGACAAAAGTCCATATTATTATACATAACTCAACAATAAATAGGGTAATGTGCAAAAACAATGGCATAACCAAACAAAATGCCATGACTTTAAATATGTATTTTTGTTTATAGATTGATCTCAGAATTCATATAGAAACTGTTTTTATTCTTTTAATAAAGCATGTGGTCACTATTTTTGTTGCATCAGAGATGAAAAGAAATGAACCGTGCTGAAAAAGACATATGTTTGATTTAAAGCTCTGAAACATTGTTGGTTGACCATTGCAAAACTATTGCGTAGTAATGAAAATGATTGTAATTTGTGGTCTTTCTGAAAACATGAAGAATTGTAAAAGTTATGATTAATTTTATTATTTAGATCCTCCACTACAGTTTCTGATCAGCTATGACAACCATGTTGCCACCACGTTGGATACAGGCTCTAACTTTACACAGTTTGTTGAAAGTGACGGTCCCATCAAGTCATGTGATTATGACTTAGACAATCACAGAGCGTACTGGGTTGATAGTAAGAATAACGCAATCTATACAAGTTTTCTGAATGGATCAAACACTCAGGTATTTACAAACTACATTCCTCTTTATTGTAGTTATTACGAGGGGTGGCACCAGCAGGTGGTAAAAATGATACATGGTGGAGCTGAGGTGGGGTGGACTCTGGACCATTTGTCAAGGAACAATGCACCACCTGTTAGGGAAAAGCTGGAGCCACCCCTGTCTGAACTAATATTAATATATTACAATTTCACATATTTGATTTTATTTTATTTGGCATCTATACTGTACATATGAACTACATAAAAATTGATAAAAAAAAAAGTGTCATAAAATCTCCAGGTATACATAAAATATTACAATTTAAAACAGTAGAAAGTCAACAATTCAAAAAAAAAAAAATAACGATACCCGGAATGCCCATAAAGTCCTTATTATTTCCAACGGAGTCCGATTAATGATAAGACACCATAAAAAATAATTAGATTATCATCCCTACCGCATTGCAGAGTCCTAGAATTAATAAGTGTTGACTAATCCACCCTAATAATACAATTATTATTTTGGCCTAACCAATGAGCTCTTCTTAGGCCTGTGTCGATACTATAACTAAAGGTGTGTTTTCATTGATTAATTTTCACCAAGACAAAGAGTAACTTTACCTTTTTCAAATCATACCACTGTTAACACATGAATTTAAATACATTAGGTTTTGCCTAGCAATCACAGATATTAAAATTTAGCATGAGTGATCAGTCTAAAGGAGATTTAACCTAGTCGTGCTGTTGGGTATCTTCCTAGGCGACATTCACACAGTAACACCAAGGAGGTATGGTGGCAACACTTACCACACTACTTGGATAACTTGACCAAGGTGATTGTTAAGCCCTGTCAAAAATCTATCAAATTTTATTTGACAAAAACATGTGACATACCTAAATATGGTCATAATGACATCATATCATGACCATATATAGGCACATCATGACTATAATATGGGCATACAACAGCTTTTTGATAGGGTGGACAAAGCTTTACATAGCCTTTTTGCACTGGACCAGGTACATGGTTAAAGATAGTCCACAGGGAGGTATGGTTCAAGTAAGGTAACCAAAGTAGTTCCAATTCAAACTTTACATGTACTTATGAGGATTGGGAGTGGAGTTGTTTTGGCATGTAAGAATAGACCTGCTGGTTCAAAGTTAACTGCTGTTTGTCTGGTTGCTTTTCAACACAATCAACAAGTACTTGTTGATTGTTTCATAGAAAGAACTATTTGCTCACAATATCAAATAACTTCAGCAATAAAAAGTCAGACAGCTGTTACAATTGAACAATTCAAAATTTTGACAAATATCTCCTGATTGCTGTATAGAAAATGAATTACCTGAACATAATATATCAAATAAATTTAGCAAACACAGAATAAATATATTGAAAAAGAGTGCAAACAATGAACAGCACTGTAGGGTTCGAACTAAGTCTGACCTAAAACTTTTCCAGTAATCTTCTTAGCCAACCGAGTGTCACGTAACAAGCAACCAATCTGTTCTTAAGCTGATTGTTGGTCCCATGGTCCACATTTCACTCCAAACAACATCAGGTATCTATAGGATTGGAGAAGCATTGATGCTTAGGAGATGATCCACCTGATGATGGGTCAACTCCTACTTTACTGTCTCCTAAGCACCATGATTCCATGGTAGCAAACACAAGCAATAACTTTCACATGCTAACACTCAAGGATACACTTAGGCATTTAATTTTATCTCCAATAATTTTACATAAGGCACAAGTTCAAGCATTAAGACTACTTGAAAACATCTTCAGGAGAGGTGTCAGATAAATCTAAATTATTTTTCTTAGAAAATAGCTTGTTTTAACAAACAACATTTAATACACACTAAAATTGAAATTATATGCTAGAAAAGAACAAAAAATTGGCATCATACTTGCCACCAGCATGAAATCTCTGAATAGGTGAACACTACCACCAGTCGGCTAAACTGGTGGTGTGTGCACTGAATCGTGGAGATCTCTTGGTCCCGGTTCAGTTCCCATCGCTGCTCTCCTTGTGTTTAAGCTGGAGGGCTGAATTACAAGTTTCAAAAGCGCACCGTCTTTTGGATGAGACGTTTAAGCCATGCGTTCCATGTGCAAAATGGCCCCTGTGCATGTTAAAGAATGCAGTAGGGGATTGTCTCCCGTTGTGCTGCCCAATTACCACCAAAAGGACCTCACTGGAAATAAATCTTATTTTGTGATTTATCCTTGGTATTCACACCAAATAAATCCATCCATCCTCAAAAAGCATTTATCCATCCAATTACAGAATTTTTATATTGCAGCATTGCATTCCTTACTTAGATATAAAATAGGATCTCGAGGAAGAGCCTAAGGGCACCCTCCTACAATATTTTTAGTTTTTTTAATATTTGTCAATATAATTTAATTTTTTATTTTTTTCTGCCTATATGCTTTTGGCAGTATTTGTTCTGTCCTCTTGACAATCTTTCAAAAATAAAGTTTGCTAAAATTAAAGGTTTTGCATTACCTTCTGGGTGTGTTGATTCAAGAAAGTATATACAAGGGGACATTGACTCTAAAGAAGGAATGCAGGAGGGATCGAAGAACATGAATTTTGATAATTTTATAATTTGATAGAATGTTAAAATTATGAGAATTACAATTAGGCCTGGTCTTGATTGATTCACCAGATGCATTAGAATTCCAAAGACTGCTTTACATTACATTTAACTTGAAATACATTAAAAATTCTTTCCCATATTCTGATAGCTTCTTTTAAATTACTAAAAATGTGTTTGAACTATGCCGCTAATATTGAATTCATGATATTATTAATGATTTTTTTTTCATTTGAGGGTGGGGGTTTGTTATAACTCACCTAAGGCCATAACATCCCTTGAGCTAGTGCCTTGTAATGCAGTGATGACAGTGTACATTTAAATAATTGATTATCACCTATGGTTGCAGTACCATTACCTTGCCCTGACAATTGGCATGGGAAAAAGTATTCTGCTGTGTTGAAAGTTCAAATTAACAACATGTTTGGACAAAAGTGAGTGGTACATTAGTTGTTAATACTAATGTTCAATGCTACTGAGTTAATTCTTTGTCTGCTGCCGAAAGATTGTATGTGAACTGGCTTAATCAATCTTTCTTTCCAAGTGGGTTGAGGGTTACTTGGTTTTCTCCATATGTAGATTTTTTTAATTTTCTGTCACTCCATTTTAATGTTTTAATACTACAGGAATGTATGTATTATTTCAGATTATATGTAATCCTAGAGGTAAACTTGAGAACATTGCTGTGGACTGGATTAACCAACGGTTGTATTGGACTGTCTCTGACAGGGGTCTCATTGAAAGAATTAACTTAGATGGTTCAAAGAGGCGGATACTGGTCGCTACTCTTCAGTACTCTCCATTGGACATAGTCGTTGAACCTTTGAAGGGGTGAGTTTTTGAATCCCGCATTTATACAATACCTGTAAATTAAATTTGCTTAAAATTATGCTTGAGCTTCTGTTCAATCTATGATGGCAGCAGACTCATATTGTTCTATAACTGTTTTGAAATTAGCTTATGTTTGAAAAAAATACAGTAACCATGAAGCCTTGCCCTTTAAAATATTGAATTTATTGCATGGAAAAAAATATTATTTTTTGTTTCTTTTTACATTTTGATTTAAAAACAAAATAACCCCTCCTCAATGTCTCATTTTCTTTAATTAAAATATCATATTTTTGGGTTTCCTTTTAAAAAAAATCTTTGTAATTCCCAATAAGAAAATATTATTAGTTTGTAGTGCACATGTCTTCTATGGTACTAAAAAAATATATATTTTTGAAAAAAAAACCCAATTTTTATAGGGCCTAATGTACAGTACATGGATTTGTAACAGTTGCAGTGTTGTAAGCTCATCTGTCACTTACATCTATTAGATTCTCAGACCACATATCTTGCTTTGATCCCTATTCAAATAAATAGTTGATTTTTGCAGTTGTGTTTTGTCCATGGGATGTGCTCGTTTAGCCTGTGGGCACCATATTCTGTTCTGTAACCTTCTATTATATCTTGTTAAAATGCAATACAATCTCATGTCCATCAGGTGTCCAGTTGAGGTCATACTACCTGCAAGGCCTGGCTGTACCACAGACCCTATTGACTACACCTAGATCAAATAGTTACAAAAGTGTAGTTCAAAATAAACAGGGAGGTTTTATAATTAGTACAAGGTTTATATTAAATTCGCTTTCAATTGTAAATCAGAACTCTGTTTTCAACATGTCTCAGTACAAGTGGTGAAAACAGAATGTTTTCAAACTGTAATTATTTAACCTATTGTAATCAGAAATTTTTAAAAATAATTTTTAGTAGAGTACTTTAAAACCTTAAAATGAAGCAGGGCTTTTTTTTTTTGTGAACTTTGGATGGGCTTCATTTTGAGGCTACTTTTGCAAAGTAAAGAGGGGGCTTCTTTTCAAAATGAATGCTGTAAATTTTGTGAATTTGTACTATAAAACAATGCATAAGGGGATTGTAACATCAACCTGTATCATAGAGTGTATTTAACTGGCATTAAATCACCTAAACTACTGTATAAACCAAGTTTGTTTTTAAGTTATTTTGTTTTTTGAAATTCATGTACAGTGTATGTACTGTACTGTCTTAAAAAGAAGCCTACACTATCTTGAATAAAAGCCCATGGGTTTCTTTTCAAGGCTGATTTTGCTA